TATTATTATTATTATTATTATTATTATTATTATTATTATTATTATTAATCGGGGGAATGTGGCAATACTGGATTCCGGTAGTAACAGTAAACAGTTGTAATGCTATATAAGTTTGAAGCCCCACAGGCAAATCTTAATATTTTCTTACACCGATTCACGTAGCAATGCTAATATCCACTGATTTGTTAGTCCATACAGAATTCCAATTCATGCAGTTCAGGTCTGTCACTTTTGTGCAAGAGAAAATACAGCAAAATTATATAACATTTTTATCAGCATTGCAATCCATATGAATCATCATCATCTTCATCCCACCCTCTATTGGGCGCAGATGAAACTATGGCATACAATTAAACAAACAATATTTCATTTGGATCTACAGAAGAACACATAAAATTTCCAACAGAAGACAATATTTGAATAGCTCAAGGTTGAAATGAGGGGTCCTTGGTGCTCTCTTGAGACCCCCCCCCTCCCCGCAAAGCAGGGATCAGGGACTAAACCACATTTCCCTCAACATGAGGAGCCATCTCCAAAGAAAGAAAGAGAATCATAACAGAATTCCAACACCCTAAGCTAGTTCAGAAAGATTCCATGATCAATGGGTTTCAAAGGCTACCAAGACGTCAAGAGACACCAAGATGGATACATTGCCCTCATCCTGACCTACCACATCACCAAGTGCAACCAAACTTGTCTCAATACGATATCAGCAACTGTGATCAAAGAGGTCTCAAGCCAGTATTCTAGTTCGAACCTAGACAGGAAGGGGCCCAGAATATCCATTTCCTCCATGATTTTTTGAGTGCTAGGCTGAACACTTTCTCCACAACCTTCCCCAGAAAGAAACTGGTTAGAAACTGGTCAGAAATAGTCCAAGTCTATGGGATCCAGAGATAGTTTCTTGAGAATGGGATGGACTACTCCTCTTCCAGGGGACTTGATGGCTCATTGGCTAAGACGCTGAGTTTGTCGATCAGAAGGCCGGCAGTTCAGTGGTTTGAATCCCTAGCCCCGTATAATGGAATGACCTCCCATTACTTGTTCAACTTCTGTCAACCTAGCAGTTCGAAAGCATGTAAAAATGCAAGAAGAAAAATAGGGACCACTTTGGTGGGAATGCGGCTTCCGCATTTAGTCATGACGGCCACATGACCACGGAGACGTCTTTGGACAGCGCTGGCTCTTCAGCTTAGAAATGGAGAAGAACACTGCCCCTAGAGTGGGGTAGAGCTGGAAACAACTAGCACACATGTGCAGGGGAATCTTTACCTTTACTTTTACTCCTCTTCCAGAATCAGTAAAATTATCCTATCTTTCAAGATAACATTCACCATCACAGGAATTTTCCTACCCTGTCCATTTCTTAACTCCTTCTAGATAATATCACAAGGCCATGCCACACAATATCTTAGTAAATCAACTGATAATCTTAATTTCTGATCTTCCATACTCTAGATGGCAGCCAGCTGTTATGATTCCATAGAAATTCTATTTTTCTTTGTATTACGCACAATGGCAAATCCTTTTTTCAACAGAAGAACATACATTTTCTGACCTTTGTAATATTCCAGATGGAAATACAACTGCATTTTAAATATTATCTGTATTAATGTGCTTACATATTGTTCTAAATATGTAATCAAAAGTGTTTATAATCCCAATATTAGATAAAGCTTTGTCAAATAGAGACACTGCAAGACCTACTATGACTTCACAGGCACAAAATCACAGTTAGAAATTTTTAGGTGGTAAGACCTCTATAAATGCTTTTATGAGTAATGAGTAATTAATGCAGTGAGCTATCAATCCCTGTTTTATAACAATACTTGATTTGATAAGCCTTTGAAAATGCAAAATAAAAAATGTATTTCATGAAATTCAGTAAACTTATTTTATGTGAGGGAGTAGATGGTTATCCATTACTACTAGCACTGTGTGTTAGAGGTGAAGTGATGAATATGAATTATTATTTTCTCTGCCAACTGATTCTGTGTCATTCCTTCTCTCATTTGTTCAAAAATAGCAGCAATATACAATACTCTTCTATACAGTTCTTGCTGGTAACATTTATAAAATAATGCCCAATTTTAACTTTCAGCATGCACACAATTCTTAACACTAATCCTTAATATAGACCAGCGATGGCGAACCTTTTAGGCACCGAGTGCCCAAACCAGAACACGTATGCATGTGCTTGTATGTGCGTGTGCCGGAGTGCCAGAAACCCAAAGACCAGCTGGCCGGTGTGCACATGCCTTTTTGGCTGTTTTTGGCCATTTTGGGGGGCGTTTTCAGGTCGTTTGGGGGGCCATTTTTCAGACCATTTTCAGGCTGTTTTGGGGCTGTTTTCAGGCTGTTTTCTGGGCTGTTTTTCAGGCCATTTCAAGCAATTTTTCAGGCCCGAAAAATGGCCTGAAAACAACCTGGAAAATGACCTGGAAAAGGCCCATTTTTTGGGCCATTTTCCAGTGCTCTGGTGCCTACAAGGACTAGCTGGACTGTGCACATGTGCACGCCAGAAACCAGAAGAGCAACAATGGTGTTCATGCCGACAGAGATTATTTTATTACTATAGGTCACAATAATTGAATTCACATGTTTTCAAAGAATACAGAAACCAAGTGTCTAAACTTGCTTTATGCTAGAGAATGAAGGTAGTAAATGAGAAAGATGCTTGCAATTTAAATATTGTTCCTTCATGCACTGTCAGAGTAAATTTCAAAGTAAGGGAAGTCATCATTCTCCTTTCGTACTTGAGAAGCCTTCTTCCACAATTATATAAGTTCAAAGAGCTCTGATTTGAATTTGGCAATTACCTTTGCTAGGTTCAGGTTATTTGGAGGAGGGAGAAAATAGCAAAAAGAAAGAGCTCCAAAAGGGGAGAGGATTAGAGTTTGGAAGATATATGTCATAAATTTACTATAAACTTCCTCTGAGAGAATACCAAAAGGAAAAAAATAATAATACGAAAGCACCATGTGGCAAGTGTCCAATTTATTTATTTTAGTTATAAAACTTACAGAGCTTCCCACTTCAATCATAGTGATTCTGGGTGACGTACAATAGAGCCAAAGATTTAATAAATCTAACATTCAGTAAAATCAGTGAAACAGTCAACACGGGAAAAACAAAATAAAGCAAGCAAGATCACAAGAGGGGAGCAACACAGCCAGGGCACAGGCTCCCTCTTGACAGATAATCTATAGGTTCGTTGAAATAATCTAGGTTTTAAGAGCTTTCCAGGAGGTCACAAGAGTTGGGACCAACCTCACTCAGGAGGAATGATGTGGGGCCATGGCAGAAAAAAGCTTTTCTCCTAGGTCCTGTCAGATGGAGCTCCCTTGCAGACAGGACTCTTACATTATGCTCTTCCTGCTGGATCCGATAGCACAGATAGATGTAATCAGGAAGAGGTGGTCCCTCAAGTAACCAAGTCCCTTGCCATGTAGGGCTTTAAAGGTCAAAAACCAGCACTTTGAATTGGACACAGAAGCAAACCAGCAATCAATTCGGGTTTTAGAGCAAAGGTGTAATATGCCTGCTAGGAGCACATATAACTTCCTGTGCTGCTGCATTCTATACCACTGAAGCTTCCAGACACTCTTCAAGATCAGCCTCATGGAGAGTGCATTGCAATAGTCTACTTGGGAGGTGACCAGGGCATGAGTAATTGTGATCAAAGTCTCCTGATCGGAGGAAGGGTGTAAGTGGCATACAACAAGAAGTTACACAAAAGACCCATCCATACCACAATGCCACCTACTCTTCAAGCAGAGTTGTGAGTTCAGAATGGCACCACCAATACATTAAACTCATTTTATTTGCCATATAATAGCTCCAGTTACAAAACTCTCATGTGCAATAAATTCATTTTTTACCAGTACAGCAATTTGCTCCAAGAAGTTAAAAATTTGGCTGATATCATGTCACAATGCTGCTATATCCTTACATAATATACATTACCCCAAAAGATATATTCAGACATCACAATATATTAACCATCAAGTTCCTTATTTATATTCTGCTATTATTGAATGAAATGGTAATCATTAACTACTGCACAACAGAAAAAGATTTATTATCTTTGATTACTGGAATTGAGGCTTATGCTGAGATGAGTCACTCCTGCTGTGACCACCTGTCACATAGTTTCCACCTGGGAAGACAGACTGCCTCTCTGTTACTTTTCTGCATCTCCTAACAAGAGGCCACTTCGGATGTGAAAGGCAAGATATTAGTTTTGAATATGGCCAATCAGTTCCATGGAGTTAAAAATGAATAATATTTGATTTTTAAATTCAGAATATTGACATCA